GGGTTGGGGGGAGATAATAAAGAAGATATTCAGGTAGCCAGAGAAAAGTCTACAACTGCTATCAGGGATTGGTGGCCAATTCAATCAAAAGTGTGCTGCCTTTTGAAGCATACTCTTGGAGTATCAAGTGAAGCTGGCCTTAACATTCCTTGCTAATTATTCCAAGTGAAGTCATATGTGTTAGATTGACATTTTTTATATGTTGAGACCTAGAAAGCTTCTTTAAAGACTGTACTATGTCACCTCTCCCAAAATGTCTTTTAATGATTAGGATGAAAGTTTACACAGCAAATTAATTTTCCATGCGATAATTCATACCTATTTTTTTTCATGACATTGATTGCCATCGCCACAATGTAACAGTACTGATCCTCACTTCCTTCTTATATTTCCTGTTTTCTTTTCACTTTTCCTATCCCTTCCAGCCTTCTGAACTTTGTCTTTGAACTAATACTGCTTTTTTGATCTTATGTGGCTATTTGTTCCAAGGAGAATAGAATTCCCGGTTATAATTGTACTACCTCATGGACTTGTCTGTTGTTTTGTTAAAAAGTTGAGCCAAAAAAGTGAGTTCAATTCTAGACTTGATGGGTCTAAAAGAGACTAAAAATCAAGGATTCCAGCCTTCTCTATCCTGACTGACTTTTGTGTCACATTTTTCTCCTCTATCTAGGACCCCCTATTGTGATCTCTTGCAGAGTGGTTGGCACTGATAGGCAGGTACCATCTAGCACTAATCTCAGAGTCATGGAAGCTGAGGTTTGATTGATCCGTTAAGGTGATGATATTTTGGTGAAAAAAAAAAGAGTTAAAAAAGTGTGCACAGGTGATTATTTTTATCTAGGCTTCAATCTGAGTCACTGGGAATTTGAAAATAAAAGGTGTACATGAGAGGAAAATGCTTAATGGTGAGTGCACCAAAGAGTTACAACCGGACAGGATTTTCAAATCCTTCCCTGGAAAAGCCATTTGAAAATAGTTCTTTTGGTTTATTGTGAATAGGAGTAAGTACTATAAGAAATTATGCAATATTAATTTTGGTCAGAAAGAGGCAGTTACTTTTTACGGTAGGTAGAATTTGTGTTTATCATGTGCTAGCTTCCTTACGCATTTGTATATGTTATTTTATAGTAATAACTTATTATATAACTCCTTTTATAGCTAAAACTCTTAAGTTATAGAGATGACAGGTAATTTGGACAAAGATATTAAGTTATAGAGGCAAAACTTGAACTGAGGTAGTCCATTTCTAGTCTTTCACTCCTTACCACTTTGAATCAGTAGTTGGAAAACATGGACATGGTGACAGAAATGAAGCTGGAAATAGAATGATTGAATTTTGCACAACCAATGACTTATTCTTTGCAAATACGTTTTGTAGGAAACATAAACACAGGCTATACACATGGATTTCACCTGATGGTATGCATAGGAATCAGATCGATTACATCTGCGGAAAGAACCACTGGAGAAGCTCAATATCAGCTGTGAAAACAAGGTCAGGAGCTGATTGTGGAAACGACCACCAACTACTCATCTGCAAGTTCAAGCTGAAGCTGAGGAAAATGAAACTGAATCCACAGGACCCAAAATATGACTTTGAGTTCATTCCACCTGAATTTCAGAACCATCTCAGGAACATGTTTGAGGACTTGAACACTAATGAGCAAAGACCTAATGAGTTGTAGGAGGATGCCAAATGTACCATCCAGGAAGAGTGCAAACGGTCATTACAAAGATAGAAGAGAGAAAAAAGACCTAAATGGATGTCAGAAGAAACTCTAAAGGTGCACTGGAGCGCAGAGAAGCCAAAGCACAAGGAAGAATTCAAGATAGTATAGAGCTGAACAGAAGATTCCAAAAGGCAGCACAGGATGACAAAGCAAAATATTACAATGAAATCTGCAAGGAGCTGGAGTCAGAAAATCAAAAGGGCAGAACCTGTTCAACATTTCTTAAGCTCAAGGAACTGAAGAATAAATTCAAACCTTGAATTGCCATAAATCAACGATGCTTTAGGCAGAATATTAAATGATCTAGGAAGTATTAAAAGAAGATGGAAGGAATATACTGAGTCACTGTATCAAAAGGAATTGGCAGACACAGAAGTATTTAATGAAACAACATATGAGCAAGAGCCTATCGTGATGAAGGAAGAAGTTGAAGCTGCTTTGAAGGAAATAGCAAAAATGAGGCCCCAGGAATAGATGGTATGCCAACTGAGGTATTTCAGCTAACAAATGCTGCCCTGGGCGTGCTCACCAAGTTGTGCCAAGAAATCTGGAGAACAACCACTTGGCCAACTGACTGGAAGAGATCTATATTTGTTCCCATCCCAAAGAAGGGTGATCCAATAGAGTGTGGAAACTATAGAACAATATCACTGATTTCACATGCAAGCAAGATTCTACTGAAGATTATCCAAAAACGACTGGAACAGCACATCAGCAGAGAATTGCCAGAAGTCCAGGCTGGGTTTAAAAGGGGTCGTGGTACTAGGGATATTGTAGCTGATGTTAGATGGATCTTAGCTGAAAGCAGGGAATACGAGAAGAATGTCTATCTGTGTTTCATTGATTATGCAAAGGCTTTTGACTGTGTGGATCATAACAAACTGACTCTGAGAAGAATGGGAATCCCAGAACACGTGATCATTCTAATGTGAAACCTATACTTGGACAAAGAGGCAGTCGTCAGAACAGAGCAGGGAAACACTGCATGGTTCAAAATTGGGAAAGGTGTACGCCAGGGATGTGTCCTATCTCCATACCTTTTCAACATGTATGCAGAACAGATTATCTGGGAGGCTGGGCTCTATGAGGACAAGTGTGGTGTCAGAATTGGAGGAAGATCTACTAACAATCTGTGTTATGCAGATGACACAATCCTGCTTGCTGAAACTGAGGAGGACCTGAAGTGCTTGCTGCAGAGACTCAAGGACTGCAGCCTTCAGTATGTATTGAGGTTCAATGTCAAGAAGACAAAGATTCTCACCCCTGGACCAATTGGCAGCATCTGAATAAGATGGAGAAGAGATTGAGATTTTTAACAACTTTAGTCTGCTTGGCTCCATGGTCAACAATCTTGACACCAGTAGCCAGGAAATAAAAAAAACCATATTGCGATAGGAAAACCTGCTGTTAGGGACCTGTCCAGGGTCCTGAAGAGCAATGGTGTCACTCTGAAGACTAAGGTGTGTCTGATACAGGCCATGGTCTTTTCAGTCACTTGTTATGCATCAGAGAGTTGGACAATGACTAGGGAGAATAGAAGAAGAATTAATGCCTTTGAGCTGTGGTGCTGGAGAAGAGTACTGAATGTACCATGGACTGCCAAGAAAATAAACAGACTCATCCTGGAGAGGGTTAAACAGGG